CCTCCGGGGGCTACTGCCGGCCCCATGCCCGGATAAAGGAGGAGGGTTGGGCATGGGGTTAGCGACCCCATTCCGTAGAAAACTAACTCGCTAAAAAAACGCTAACCAGAAAAAAATATTCAACCTTTTAAAAGTCTGTCCTGGGTGTCAGAAGGTCTTCATTTAGAAGAGTGATGACGCCTCATGACGAAAGCCGACTTCCTTCGGAAGTCACGAGGCCGATGCCCCTTCTGACAACCAGAGCAACCAATTATTCAGGTACATGGAATGCTCGTACAATGTGGGGGACTGGGAGAGTTTTCCAAATTGCTACAGAAATGAGGAGATACAACCTAGAGGGGCTTGGGATCAGTGGAACATGTTGGACGCAAGTTGGACAACAACGACTAGCTTCAGGGGAGCTTCTGTTATACTCTGGTCATGATGAAGAAAATGCCCCACATACACAAAAAGTTGCATTGATGCTGTCCAAACAAGCCCAAAATGCGCTTATAGGATGGGATCATCAAAGCCTCGTTTAAAACAAAGAAAGAGGACATTTCAATGAACGTCATCCAATGCTATGCGCCTACCAACGACTACAATGAAGACGCTAAATATCAATTCTACAATAGGCTGCAGTCAATCGTCGAGAAGTGCCCAACAAAGGACCTGACCATTCTGATGGGAGATTTCAACGCCAAGGTTGGAACGGACAACACTGGATATGAAGACATCATGGGACGACACGGACTGGGAGAAAGAAACGAAAATGGTGAGAGATTTGCAAATCTATGTGCCTTCAATAAGCTGGTCATTGGCGGCACCATATTCCCACATAAACGCATACACAAAACCACATGGACTTCACCAGATCGCTCTACACAAAACCAAATCGACCATATTTGCATCAACAAAACGTTCAGGAGGACTATAGAGGACGTGAGAACCAAGAGAGGAGCTGATATAGCATCAGATCATCACTTACTGGTCGCCAAGATGAAATTGAAACTCAAGAAGCACTGGACAACGGGGCGGACAATATCACAAAAATTCAATACGGCCTTTCTACAGGATACTAACAAACTCAACAAATTCAAGATAGTCCTCAGCAACAAGTTCCAGGCCTTTCATGATCTACTCAATGGAGAAGGAACTACTGTGGAGAGCAACTGGAAGGGGATAAAAGAGGCAATCACTTCAACATGCCATGAGGTCCTGGGTCACAAGAAGCACCATCACAAGGAATGGATCACTGTTGATACACTGGATAAGATTCAAGAAAGGAGGAACAAGAAAGCAGCAATCAATACCAGTCGAACAAGAGCAGAAAAAGCCAAGGCACAAGCTGAATACACAAAAGTAAACAAACAAGTGAAGAGGAGCATCAGAACCGACAAACGTAAATATGTGGAAGGTTTAGCAACGACGGCGGAAAAGGCTGCAAGAGAAGGAAACATGAGACAACTGTATGACACGACAAAGAAACTCTCTGGAAATCGCCGCAAACCAGAACGACCAGTGAAAAGCAAAGAAGGCGAGGTAATCACCAACACTGAAGAGCAACAAAACAGGTGGGTAGAACACTTCAAAGAACTCTTGAATCGACTAGCCCCACTGAACCCACCCAATATCGAAGCAGCACCCACGGACCTCCCAATCAATGTTGGCCCACCAACAATTCAAGAAATCAGCATGGCCATCAGACAAATCAAGAGTGGCAAAGCAGCAGGACCGGACAACATCCCAGCAGAGGCACTAAAGGCAGACGTAGCGGCAGCTGCAAGGATACTCCACATTCTCTTCAATAAGATTTGGGATGAGGAACAAGTACCACAAGACTGGAAAGAAGGACTTCTGATCAAAATACCGAAGGAAGGTGATCTCAGCAAGTGTGATAACTACAGGCGCATCACTCTTCTCTCAATACCGGGAAAAGTCTTCAACAGGGTATTGTTAAACAGGATGAAGGACTGCGTAGACGCCCAACTTCGAGACCAACAGGCAGGATTACGTAAGAATCGGTCGTGTACATACCAAATCGCAACTCTACGGATCATTGTGGAACAATCAATTGAATGGAATTCATCACTTTACATCAACTTCATTGACTACAAAAAGGCATTTGATAACGTGGACAGAACAACACTATGGAATCTCCTTTGACACTACGGCGTGCCTCAGAAGATAGTCAATATCATACGGAATTCCTATGATGGATTACACTGCAAAATTGTGCATGGAGGACAGTTGATAAAGTCGTTCGAAGTGAAGACCGGTGTTAGGCAAGGTTGCTTACTCTCACCCTTTCTCTTTCTCCTGGTGATAGACTGAATCACGAAGACGTCAACGTCTGAAGGGAAGCGCGGGATACAATGGACATCTGAGATGCAGTTGGATGATCTAGACTTCGCAGACGATCTGGCCCTTCTATCCCAAACGCAACAACAGATGCAGGAGAAGACGAACATATTTGGCCAGTATCATTGATAAACACGGTGGATCTGATGCAAATGTAAAGGCGCGGATCGGTAAAGCAAGAGCAGCATATTTACAACTGAAGAACATCTGGAACTCAAAGCAACTGTCAACCAACACCAAGGTCAGGATTTCCAATACAAATGTCAAGACAGTTCTACTGTATGGGGCATAAACCTGGAGAACTACAAAAGCCATCATCCAGAAAACACAGGTGTTTATTAACAGTTGTCTACGCAAAATACTTCAGATCCATTGGCCAGACACTATTAGCAACAACGTACTGTGGGAGAGAACAAACCAGATCCCAGCGGAGGAAGAAATTAGGAAGAAGCGCTGGAAGTGGATAGGACACACATTGAGGAAAGCACCTAACTGCGTCACAAGACAAGCCCTCACATAGAATCCTGAAGGTCAAAGGAAAAGAGGAAGACCAAAGAACACATTACGCCGAGAAATGGAGATAGACATGAGAAAAATGAACAAGAATTGGATAGAATTAGAAAGGAAGGCCCAGGACAGAGTGGGTTGGAGAATGCTGGTGGGCGGCCTATGCTCCATTGGGAGTAACAGGCGTAAACAAATAATAATAATTTCTAATTTGCAGATAATACAATTTTGAAGTATATATATATCGTAACAGATGCAAACGTTCATTTTTTAACACATAACATTGTCAAATTCATTAATACATGTCTTATTTTTGGCCTTTGTAAAATATCGTAATAATTATGGACTTATAACTGTAGAGCCTGATGATGAAGTTATTGAAAACAATTGTTCGCTCAAATATTCTTCATTTTTTGAGAGATTTATTCGTTTTAAAAAAATCAAAAATATTTAATAAGTCAGTACAACTAAACTTTGGATTAGGAAATAGTGATAAAGGATAAAGTTTTACAACCGAACGTTATTTAGAATTTTTTCTTGTACAGAAATTTAAATAAATGTACGAACAAGATGATGAATTATTCCTTATTTATGCTTTAGAACATTAATAAATCTAATCATGTAGGTATTTTCACGTAATTTTAATTCAATACACGAAAACAACAGATAATCTTGTAAGACATAAATATATGAATATTATGCATGCTATAAAACAGGGACACAGTAAAAGTGATTAAATTTCGATAGAACAATGAGAAGATGGAGTTGATTAAGAAAGCAAGTTACATAAGGTAAAGTCAATTTAACAGATGTACGAGTTAATCTCTGAATAATTTAAAAATAAAGTCTGCCATTCTTCTACTCACCGTTCCCTGTTTTATTTTATAAGCAGCCTTTTCATTTGCTTCAAAATTGCAATATATACGTTATACATATATGCTCATAATCAGAGAATACTCAGTGCATGTACACAATAACACAGAAATTGGATTAAGTATTCACAAAATTCCTAGTTTACCGTATGAACCTTTCAAACATGTTTGTTTTTATTAAAAAGGCAGTCAGTAATCCAACCCTTATGGTAAAAACATTTTTAGAGACCCAAGAATAAAATTCCTTTTTAGTAGATAAGTCTTTGAATGCATACAAGAAAGATCAGTTATAAAAGTCAGATAACGTACATTTATACTTAAGATTTCTTTTAGCATATTTTACACTTTATTAATATTCAAGCAAATACTGAAAATCGAATCCAAATATTTATTTATTTGATAGCTGATGATGTTAAATTTGTGTAAAAACTGGTTAGTAACCACAAAACATATCCAATTATTCGTTTAAGGGGATAATCGGATCTGTGATACTTAATTTCAGTAAAAAATAATTTCGAATTCGAGGTTTCGATTACGGCAACAGAAAACAAAAATGATACTTCACGTGTGTGTATTTGAGAAATAATACAGTGTATGAATATATATATATATGTCTTGTTGGTCTAGGAACAAGGCTAATAATGTTTCCACCTTTTTTTGTCTATGTGCTGAAATCATATAGTTAGCTATTCTATAATAGATGCTGTAAATATGTCGAACTGTTCTGGTAGCCATTAGTATTGTTTTGTTTTACAACATGGTTAACTATTGCATTGATAAATAATCGTCCAAAGCACTATTGGTTGAAATAAAATGTAACAGGTAAACATAGTAATAATAAAACACACAAATTAAAGAAAATGATTCCGGGATATGACAGAGATGAATCCAACACAAAATGTGGAGCATTGATTATTGTTTCATTACTTTCCTATTGAGAAGGGTGTAAATATATTCACGATGTTTCTATGTCTAGGATACTCGACAAAGATGAAGAATTGAGTAATGGCGGCCAGGGTACGCGATACGCATATCTAACCACCGCTCACCTAGATAGGTTATGTTTGGTGAAATAGGAGTAAGTTATAGGAAGGCAACACAGAAAGTTACATATTGAAATATAGTCACACTATTAATAACCAAAATACCTAAGTAAATACTGATACAGAGGGTTTAACATTTTCATCAGAATTATGATTTTTTAACAAAGCTGTTAGTAAATAAAATAATTAATAATATATGCATGTTTTATAACGAAGGTAAATATTGAATCTAACTTACTGTAAACCTGATTCATGATCTGCAGGACCACCAGGATTAACTCGTGTCACATAAATATCGGTATCATTATCATCTGGACCCAAAGTGTTGTCATGTCCACCTGCAATACTAAATCCAAATCCTTTAGAACTTTTTTCAATAATAACTTCCATAGTAACAGGCAAACGACTGAGTAAAGCCCATTGTCTGTCAATCAATTCATTATTTTCAAGACTATTTGGTGGAATGTCATCATGAATAGACAAAAGATCATTTGAACAAGTACTTTCATCTAACTTTCTAGACAATCTAGCATCAAATTCATGAGTCAAAGTTGATTTCGGTCGTTTTAAACGTTTTTGACGTGGTTTCGCCACCGGAATATCAGGTGACAATTTTATATCATATAGTTTCTTATTAGACTGATCGTCAACAAAAAGAGGATTTTCAGTTATAAATTCAGTATCAGCATTTCTTTTTAGTCGGTTATCTGACGTATTCTTTAATGATGGTGACTGATTTACATTATGTAACGAATTAGATGATTGATATTCATATTTTAGATCCGCTTCCATATGCTTCCATGATTTATCCAAGTTGACCACATGTAGATCATGATATGGTGATATTTGAGTAGGTTGTAATGAATAAGACTTTTGTGAGTTATCCAAGTTAATATGGTACATTGAGCGCTAAAATAAATACAGATAAATCGATAGAAAAGAGTTTATCTATTGATATTCAAGAACAAAACATTAAGACTTACTGAACTAACTGTGAAAAAAATCTAACCAATTATTTTGCTCTGAAAAAGCATAGCATAGACAGTTTGCTGCCGTTAGATTGCAAATATAAACACCACCTTTTGGTGAAAATAACAACTGTTTGTCTATATTAAAGTATCAAAAACTCTGGGTTAACAGGTGACATTATTCATACTTCCGTAATCAATAATTTCTTTATAGAGTAACTACAAGGATGTGATATCATTCGGTGAATGAATTCAAAATTCAGAGTAAGTAGAACATCATCAGTTATAACGATTCGTAAATTACCTTGAAATAAAATACACTAAGGTAAAATGTCATTGACCTTGGTTAACTCGATTGAATTCCATAACGGTGAAACTTTAAAGAGTCAGAAACTTATTATAATAGAACGAGGGCATTATTTTTTGAAAAAGTGGAAAATCATAAATGACCCGAATATTTAAATTCAAGACTATCAAGGCAATATAAATAACCCAGATGTGCAGACAAGTCTTTTTAAATGGCTTTCATTTACTTATATATGGCTTACATGATACAGAATTCTAAACAGGTAATAAACTAAATAATATCAAGAGAAAATTTTGAGCACTGATTTAGTCGAATCACAAAAGTAGTTTTGTTGGTCATTAAAATATCTATTTAAGCAACATCATGTATTTTCTTACAGAATGATATCCTTTAAGTAGGCACAGTTATGAAATTCGACAGAATTGACTATTCAATAAGCAATAAAAATAAAGGTGTGTTTCTAAGAATAAAATTTAAATTTACTACTTTTAAACAGCGAAATCAGTTGTGAAAGTGCTTTTTGTCAATCCCATATATAGAAGGCTTTTGGTTTTAAGGGACTACATAAGGAAAATCACAATCCATTATTAGTATTATACTGCTGTACAAGACTTAAATTTTGTCTTTAGATTGTTGGTAACAAAATAAAGAATAGATATTTAGCACCGTTTTGCATTGGTGAACATCGAATTTGTTTTATTTCAGAAACATGGAGACGGATTTTTACTTACCAGAAGGAAATGATATACCTATCACTTACAATATAACATTTACCGTCTTGGTAACGTAGCCCTTACTTGATTACACCCTATTGCATCATCATGTCGTTTTTTAAATATATTTTCGATTGGAATTACTTTTAACTGGGCTTAGCTTATTTTATTCTTACTTATGATTACTTTGTGTTCAGTTATTCTCTTACGCGATCACTTAGTTTTACACATAAAGTCTTTCTTTACTATATTCATGAGACTTTTATGGGCTTGAAATAGACATATTTACTCTATCCTTTTAACTTGTTTCAGACCTTAGCTACATAATGCTTTTATTAACTTTTCAGCAAATTCATACCTATATTCAAAGTTTGTCTGCAGTTCTGATATTGAAATATTACAGATTGTAACAGATTGACAAGAAAATGAAGTTTATGTTACTTTATTCAAATTACTGTTCTTTTTTCAGACTACTAAAAGAAACTATCAGTGTTACAAGATAAATAGTTCATTAGTTTGATATATATATATATATATATATATATATATATATATATATATATCATATGTGCAGTGTAAAATATCTATAACATGATGGAAATACGAAACACGCAAATACAACATTCATTTTGTTCTTACATACATACATAAATTAAAATTGATATGAAAATTTTGACTTAACTCATTATGAATTTAATGGAGAATATTAGTCAGTTATCTAAAAAGAAACCATGACATTTCTTATAAGGATGCTAGATGAAATACAAAAACTATCAACATATGAACATCTGGTGTATTACTACTGACTTAGGTTGACAAAAACTTATCGAAATACAATAGTATATGCGCCTATTCTGTCTATTACAGTCCAAAGATTAATATATATCCGATCAAGCTGTAAGTAATGATGAAACGATGATGATGAGACGAAGCTATTGCAAAGAATTAATGCTATACACTTTGACCTAAACATTTAGTAAAACAGTTCTAATCTAAATCTAGTCTTAATTATAGTTATTATTATATGAAAGTTCTTCACACTTTTATCAATGAAGGATAGAAGTGAGAAAACTGATTTCAAATCAATTAAGGAAACTAATTTATTTTTTTAGAAACTTCTTGAAACAGAAAATATTCTAAGTTTTGTTACGCTACAAATTCGTGTTGCGATAAACAATAAAACGTCTGTGTGCATAAAAAATAATATATTACATTAAAACATACATCAGAAAACCATTCAAATTAGATTTACAAGAATGTAAATGAAATGAGGAAATTTACGCATATATTCTATACTGCTTAACTGATAATCTACCAAAACCAAGTAAATTTTAATGCTTCCATTATCATTAATAATCATTGGACGTAGATGGTAACAATTTAGTCACTACGATAATATGTGTTTATTTGTTTATAATCCACATGATAATTCGTCGATTAGTAAATGGTCTTTTCTAATTATAATTTGTATATAAGATGCCAACTTTATGGATCACGTGAATCTAGCCAATATTATACAACAATAAAACTCATTTATATGGTAAGAGGATAACAAGTGACCATTTTTAGAAGCACTTTTATTAAGACTGTCTTTTATAGGGATATTTAAAATCTGTATATACAATGTTGATCTTTCTAAACGATACAGGATAACATACTTAAAGATAAACCAACAAGTGAAGCAAATGCAAAGGTCATTGTACCCGAAATGGGTTCATAGCTAATAGCGATTTTTATCGCATAAAAGTAAAGATTGGAATTTTTGATAAAAGTGGAGTTTTTAGGAGTATTGCCAAGAATAATTTATGTTCAAAAATAAGGCCACAGTCTTAAGACCTTGCACTTTAAAAGGGAACTAAAACTTAATAACATTCTTTTGAAATGGTTGAATTTATTTAACTTATTTTTAAGTGTATTTTAGCAATTCGTTTCCTTAGAATCACTGCAAAAATTTCTTTGCCAAGTGAATTGTGTAGTATAAAGAAAGATAATTGAATATATAAGACAAGGCTTCATACAAAAACATTTCGTCATATATTATCGTATATTCTAACTAAATACCTGTTACTTTTAAAATGAAAGCACCTAGACGATATATATATATATATATTCTTTCCTGTTGAATATTTGAAGTGATTTAGTAGGAAACTGTCAACTTTAGTCAACTAGGTGTTTCTATGATTCCAGGGATGACTACTGTCTCTAAGATATTTAATCTCCTACCACGAATTATAAAAAAATCAAGACATGTCATTCTTCATCTACCCGAGTTTTGAATAAATTTACCTAATTCATACTAATTCATACAAAACGATAAAAGGATTTCTTTAGAAAGGTTATCAAAGAATAAGTTAATACAGTCATACTTACTGCTCTGTCAAAACAATCTGTTTTCTTCAATAAACTATGCGGTATTCTCAAGTCAGTTGTAGAGGCCACCAATGATGGACTTGATATATTTTCCCACCTTGATGCGATTTCAAGAGCGGCTGATGTTTTCTCTTCTTTCGTTTTTTGTGGATCTAATAGGACAGCTTCATAAAATTCTTGTATATCTTTATGTTTTATTTTGTTTTAACCCACAGAAAAAAAACAGTGAAAACGAATAGTTATTTTGATTATAAAGCTGGTTAAGTAGTGTATTAAAATGCAGACTTGTTTTTCATTAATAAAAATAAAATTACCCCTGGTTATTTTTTAAAAACCTGAATGTATCATGAACTTTTAATGCAAATGACTAAATAATAATGATGATAATATTAATAGTAATACTCTATGATATGTAACATAACTTAGACTAATAAATGGAAAATTTAGCTGTGATTTTAATAAACAAAAGGTTGTTGAGCACAAGACTCAAGATTTTTTTCTTTTCGTAATCTGGCGTTTTCTTTTTATCCCCAATTCTGACGCTTGTACAACATCTAAATTATCAGGCATATATTAAACCGCATTGTAACTTGACGAAATTCAATATGCTTCTAAATGAATATACCTTTTACTATAAACAATATCAAATAAATATTTTGCTAAGATCTCAAGGGAGATATTACCAGTAAATTATTATCTGGATCCTTATATACATTTTTCTTGTTACAAAATAAAATGAACCATTTTTAAACAACTTATAAGACTAATGTTAGAGATTAAACATAAAATCCCTACTTTTCAACCGTACAACTAAGTTAAAAATGCATAAAAACACAAGAGTATCAAAGCTACATACAGATAAAAATATGTTAAGATTATTAGGAGAAACATTATGTAACAAATGTATCTTGTTTACTGGTAGTGAAATTGAATTAAATCATATAAGCTATTGTTTTTGTTGATCGTACGAGTACTATCCAAAAGATTCACATTATCCTAACTAAACTTAACAATTAGCGAAATGGTTAGTATGTGCTATGTGAAACTTTGACATTCTATTCATATGTTACCTAATAAACAGCTGCCCATAAAATATCTTCTATATCATCGTTTTGTGATTTTTATCGTTTTAAAAACATGGTATGTAATTGTAAACCGAAGACAACAGGCTTTAAACTCTTAGATCTAGTTATTTTGATGTGTTTTGGCCGATTGGAGGAACACTCTTAACTTTACCTTGAATATGAATAGTTTTCTATCCTTCTCTTTGGTCATCAAACCTATGAGAAATTCAAATTTCGAATATAATATTTATGGAAATAAAAACAAAAAACTTAGTTGAATCCTGTTGAGTATAAGTGCATTTGTGATAGGCTTGATGCTAAGAAGAAGGTATCATACTGAAAGAACAACAGACGTATAAAGTAGCTGTGTGTTTGAGAGTAGAGAAAAGGAGCAATCGTTTACGTGTAGGGGAATCAGCAAGGAAAGAGTTAATGAAAAACCACCAAAAATAAATTTTTAAAAATGGTAAGTAATATCACTTGAATCAAATTCAGTTTTTGTTTTACTTAATAAGTGCAGTTTAGGATCAACTTGCTAGTTAAGTTCAAACTTGTTCTCACCTAAATTTCAGTTGAATTTAACCTGATGAATTCATTTATTTTACAACGATAAGCTAGCTAAGCCTCTGGTCTGAAAAGTTCTTTGCTCAGCTAGATATACCTACATACCAGAATTGATGTTTACTCTGAGACTCGAACCCAGTACCGTTCGCTTCAAACGCCATTGCGTTGTCCACTTAGCTACTGAGTCCTGATAGCCACTATTTTGTGCAACGGGGTGAAGTTTAAATTCATTTCGTATTATTTACTTGAATCTTCCCATTGATGTTTTAAGACTGAAATTGATCAGTCTCTTATTGGCATATTTGTATCCTGTACAGATTATCTCGTCATTACTCTAAGTCTTAAGCGATGGAATTTGAAGCAAACAGTACTGGGTTTGAGCCTCAAGGTGAACATCAACTCTAGGATGCAGGTACGTCCAGATGACGAGTCCCAAAAGGAAACACGCGTCCTGGATTCCACTGCTGGCCACCATCCATTTTTGCTTATAAGGCTCGTGAATTAAGACAATATCGGTACAATACGTAGGGTATGCACATATACCAATAAGAAACCGATCAATTACAGTCCTAAACATCAATGGGAAGATTCAAGCAAAGAATACCAAGTGAATTTATTCTATGTTATGTTTACTTGATTCCTTACGATTAACTGTTGAATCTATAAACATTTGACAGTAGAGGAGATGTGGTCAAGAGAATACAATTCATCTAGAGGACTCTAACCAGAAAGGACAAAAATAACACAAATAACGACGAAAATAACTGACCCATGGAGGAAGTATTGGTTTCAAAACTTTTTAAGGGATTAACAATAAATATATTTCCGTGATTTTGAGATAATTTCTTAATAATTTACAATTTGTTTTGGAAAATCTGTTCATACAATTGTTGTAAATTCGAATATTACCCTTATATCACGGCGTACATATTTTAAAATATTACCAATAAGATTGCTCAACAGAAATTAAATCTTTGATAATATTCAATATTTAATTAACAAATAAAACTGTTCAATGACATAATATTTTTGCTAAGAGACTCTAACGATAATAACGATTAGAACTGGGAGTTCTTATAACAAAATTCCGATAACGAATATTTTGTAATTAATTAATTAATTAAACAACCATACGTCTTGCAGAATAAAAATTATACTTTAACCTACCAAGTAGACCCAAAAACAGTCTACTTTGAAACACATTCATCAACCGATTAAGAGCTTGAACGAGTAAACCATCTTTTTCATTGTCTAAGCGGTTACGGTAGTTTGTTATTTGATTTAAAGCTAGATGTGCATCTATAAAAACATAAAACAAAAGTACATTTTATAGTTACAATATATAAATTCAGTGCTATCAAATATGACGCGATGGGTAGTTACAAATTTCCATTAGTTTAAAGAAAACGCAATAGTCTGTACTTAAGAAATACGCCGTCAAACTTCAAAACCGTAAGTAAATATTGAAGTATGACAACTTTACATTACTGCATACGTATCACTTAATGTGTAGTTACTCCCAGCCAACACTAAAAATAAACTTTATAAGAAGCTGGCTGACTGTAGATAGCTTTGAAGAATATTCGTTTTCGCTCCGAAAAATTCCGCCTTCTTGTTGTTAATTTGCAGTTATATTGTATGAAAATATAATCAATATGTACAACACCTCATACCACACCCATATTCTATAAACATCTTTGACGTGTTCAGTTAGTAATGAAAACTGAAGAAAATGACGTAGATACTGTTTAACGTCTTAAAGTATCATTCAATTTGTCCTGGAAGCAAGGCCATTTGAAAAGCCAGTGTCCACCAACTTCAACATTTGAAGTTTTCAAGTAATGTTGCAGCAAAAATCACATAACGTCTGGGTAAAAATGTGCAGTTTTGTAGCACAGATATGAAATAATTAATTAAATTAAACTTTGAATACCTACAAGTATTGTTATCCTAATCTTACTGATAAGTCTTCATAAACTTTCTGGCTGCAGATCATGATTTATGTTTTCCAGCTTTCTAGAAATAACTACGTTCACAGTTTATACCGCACCTTAATCACACTTCTTTGATTTTTATATAATGACGTATAGTCAGTCCCAGAAAATACTTATTTTCATGAAACATATTTCCATAGGCTTCAAAGAAACTTCATTTATAATGTACATAACAGAAAATGTATGCTACAAATCGAGCCGGTATAGTTTTTTTTACACACAATGCACAAAGATAGCTTATGTAATGAATTTGACTTCAGATTTTTTCGTGATTTCAATCAAAATCGACTAACTGTTGATTTTCTAGTGGCACTATTGTCGTATTTAGTTATATTTCATAGCCTTCCTTATGATTATTGATACACTTCTCACAACTACACTGTTTTCTGGGAAGCTTGAGTCGTCATCCCAAAAATTTAGTTTTAAAAAACCTGAGAAATTAAAATGCCTTCGGTGAATAGGAATCATAGAATTCCAAATTACGGTGACATAAATTTCGCAGTCACTTAACCAGTCTGAATGATTAGATAATTATGTTAGTTCTTAAACTGCGTAACGCTAACACCCTTCCTTAGTAAAAATCTTGAGTATTTATAGAAATTTCCAGGCGATTCGCTTTAATGAGTTGATCAGTCATGTGCAATGTGAAACCTGTTACACCTGTTCTTTATTACTTTGCCTAAAATCCGAAAAATTCAACGGTTAAAAGGTAACCTTATTATATTCAGGTTAAAAAAAATTGCACAACTATCTGTTAGATAAGCAGGGCACATAAATTACTACTTGTTTCTAAATAAGAAAGTACCAGATGAATATTTACATACAATCAACGTAAAAATTGATGAAACAGTGCATGATCAATCTTAATCAGTAACCAGAATGGGGTTCACTAGGAGTGACAAGCTATTTTAATCTTTTCCGTCTAGATGGCAATAATGTATTCAGTATACGAAAGGATTATAAGGACTAACCCTACACTTCTAAGCTTCCGAAAATCAAACCACACTTGTTTTCTAACGTAATGAGTGACATTCCTACCGTGAATAAGCCACAACGTGATCAACAAAAGTTGACATACTTGACCAACCACTTGGCCTCAAGCAATCTCATCTTTACTCAAGAAATAATTATCTTCTATACTCGTAATAAAAAAAATAACAATTTTTTGATTCTTTACATCCGTGCTTATTTCAAAGCTTACCGAAAATCTGGGACCACAGTTTATAATTTAATATAGTTGAGCTTTCACGGGTGAGAACTGAGTTCATTTATAGCCCGCTTCCTTTGGTTGCAATAGACCTTACCTTATTTATCAGATCAATGATTTCAACTTTATATTTACTTCGTCCCTGTGCACGTAATCAAAGCTATTGTAAAATTAGTAAATCGAAAACTAATTACGAGACAGACTTTGGAAGTACCCACAGAAATCACAACCGGTACTCCAAAATTGAAGGATTTGTCAAATAATTTATCAACCAAATTTTCAGATTACGGTTTCATAACCATTGGTTGACAAAACGTCTGTGGAATCTGGCGTATATATCAAGTACAGTTTTTTTTTGCAAACAACCGACGCTTATGTATAGCACTAATTTATCAACATTCCCCACTTAGTATCATAATAAACATGATAACGAATTAGGTTGAACATATTACTGCCAGACTACTTCCGAGAATACTTTGTAGAACTGTAGGTCATATTCGGTCTTAAGATTTGAAATGTAAAGCTAGACCAGTGAGTTTATGGATAAATATGAAGGATAAAAAACAAATCATTCTAGAATTTACGGCGGTTGCAAAAACGTCTTTTGAACAAGGCAGATCATTTAACATAAAGATCTATATAGACCCAACATCAGACAATGAAGAACTGAAAGATCATTAAGAATTACCAAAGGCTTGATAAATAGAGTATTTAGTATTAAGTCTATATTCTCAAAAGGAAATCGATAAATCCGCATTTTATAACTTTCAGGCTCATCGTTTATCTTTGGTAAGCTGTTGTATTCATCTAGGAGTACAAGAAGAAACCAGAGAACAACAGGCTGGTTTTTCTCCTTAATATGGTTTAGAAATATAATGAGCATACTGATGTTGTACACTTGTTATAACGTGTCACCCGCATAACTTAAATTGTAAATGGGTGATATCGCATTAATTTGTGCCGGAATATTAGAGAAATATGACTAAGTTTAGATGAATATGGTTGGAAATAAACGGGTGGGAGTTTAATTTATGGACTACCTTTGAGCGATGCTGAAGTGACCTTTGAGAAGTGTAACCATTTGCTAGGGTTCGAGGTGTTTAAAACCAGTGTGAGATATTAGGGTTAATATTTAGAGTCGGTAGTGAGGGTTGAAAATGAGAGCTAGTGTTTTTGACACGAAATGACATCAGCTATAATGAGTTTAATTTAAACCTGGATTTGACTTATTTTTTCCGTAAATCTTCGTCCCATCAATAATTGTCCTGTTGTGAAAATGTGAAAATGTGGGGATATATCGAAACTAAAAATCTGAATAACTTGTCATTATTATATAAACTGATCTTTCATGAGAAGTCAATTAAAGAAACTTGTGGGAAAAGTGCACGCGCAAAATAAAAGGCTCGTCCCTAAAATACAAATCTAATAACGGGATTAATCTTCCACCAAATATTTTATAGGTAGAAAAGAAAATACTTAGTTTCAGTCAGCGTTTCGACAGATAGTATGTCTTGAAGTAACCCTAGTATGGGAGAACAACTAAAGCACATCATCAAACGTACTCAATACAATTTCAAAATTTAAAATGAGGACTGGGTATTAACAATGTCCAGTTTGTCAAATATATCAGGCTTATATATAAGCCAAAACTGATAAGATTTTCTACAAAATCAAGGGATTGGGTACATTCACTGTACCAAGTTGTACGGAAATTATAAGTCTTAGATCACCGGAACATGCACCGCGTTTCATTTGAAAATGGGAAAATTGTAGCTAACCTGAATAAATGTATATGGTTAATGTGAACTTACCCCTTTTGTTTTTACAAACAACCATTTCTTCATGTTACCGCTTTTTTGCACATGTACTGTATTAATTGTTTTGAAATACTTTAACAAACCGTAACTCATGCCTGTTTATAGAACTAAACATTGTACGAGAACGATAGCTAGGATCAGTGTGAGGGTCACTATTAGAGAAACAACTTTATTTCCGAAGCATTATTCAGCACTGATTTGATAATTATGTCAAATTTGAGAGCAGACAAAGGCATTTTACCACTTCTTCCTTCTCCCGTTTTTCTACTCAGTCAACGTATCATCATCGCCATAAGATGTGCAACAGAAAAGATTGAAGTGCAAATATGCTTATTAATTCCTAATACATTTTGTAGATTTCTAGTCATATAATATGTTTAGTCTCAAAACTGACATCAGTGATATTTACAGAAGAATATCTACTAGAATAGGAATGAAATTTCACTAGGCAATTAAGTGCCTGCATTAAAGAAGTCTTCCAGACTGATCGATCAAATAATCGTTTCGTAGAGTTTCGTGGAGTTCGTAGAGTTTCTGGGACACCACATCGACTCACATGGTATCACACCACTGCAAGAAAAAGTAGAAGCTATTATCGATAAAAAAGAAACAAAGTTAAAAAGACGATGTCTTCACTTCGCTGCCCTATTCAAAAAGTGCTTTTGATAAAGCAAAGTCTATGATGCCAAATGCTACTATATTGCAACACTTAAATTCTGAACCCAAAACACACCAAATTTCTGCACTCATACATCTCAGAAAGCTGTAGGTGCGGTATCAAAACAACGAGTAGACGACATTATTACACATAAAGCATTCTTCACTAAACGACTCTCGTCAGCTCAGGAACGTTACAGCACCTTTGGATGTGAGTTACTAGCTGTTTATTTAGCAACAAAGCATTTCGCCTTCCTGTTACAAAAACGTGGATTTACGATAATGACTGATCATAAACCCTTATATTATTCCCTTAACACGCCATACTTCCAACATTTACCACGCGAAGCACGACCGCTGGATTATATATCACAATTCGCAACAAATAACCAGTTCATCAAAAGGACATTTCAATATCGTAACCGACACTTTTTCTCGAATGGATATCAATATGCTTGTACATAAACAAGATGTTAACCTCAAAACCACAGCTAAATTATAAGTATAGGGTGCAGAACTAAAAACCTTCAAGGAGAAGTACAACATGATTTTCAAACCTATGCCTATTCCTTTCTGTGATTCATCTATTGTCTGGGATGCTTCAACTAGTAACAGTCTTTTTTAGCAAAGCTTATCGACGAAGGATATTTCAACATCTATATGAACTCTCACATCCCATCATCAGTGCCGCAACCAGGCTTCCGGAAGTGAACCATATCAAAACAACAACTTACCATTCAGTAGCTAATTCGTTGGTTGAGAAAACTCACCGCCAAATGAAAAGCTTACTGGTGGCGCAATCTGATACATTGGAGTGACGCACTACCAACTGTACTACTTGGAATTCATTTAACTATCAAAGAATATAATGGTCGCACATAAGTCGAACTAGTCTATGGTACAACCTTAACAATACCGGATCAACTAGTCGACCCTGATACAACATTGTCAACTGATCCAACCCGCTTTGAGAGCCACCACTTGCAAACTATGCAAAATGTTAAGCAATACTTCCGAGCGAGCATAACAATAGTGTACAGCTCGATAAACAACTGCAAACACGTAAATTCATCTCCATTCGAGTAGCTAAAGCAACCGTACGAAGGATCTTATCAGGTAATTAGACGGACAATAAACACTTCCTCATTAACAGAAATAAAAAGAAAAAAACTGTCTCTGTAGACAGAATTAAACCAGCTTTCTGCAAAGACCAGCAAGACAAGAAAATACTACCACAGACAAACAGACTCTGCCATTATTTATTACGAAATTAGAGGACGACAAAAAAACAAGCAGTAATCCTACATGTTTAACACTCTCAGGCAGAACTGTAAAGAAGCCCAAGCGTTAATTTCATTTTGCTGAATAACGAATCATAACAAACCATCATTGATACATAATACACTATTAAATTCATTCGCTTTTGTAGCATCCACATTAGATCATTGTTGGATACGCTCTATTTCTTATCCATTGCAACAATTAAGCCGCTTAAGTTGTATACATCTCGAAGCATCAACAGTTTTCCGAATATATCCTTAGACCTCTTCATTCTCAACTTCAAGTTTGACTGGCTTGTGCCCCTCAATTAGATGAGTGTTAATGACAAACGAATATCCATAATATATTTAGATTTTACATGGTATAAGTATTGAGCGATAAAAATATATGCAAGAACAATAAATTTGTCAGGAACCACGTGATTAGTTTTCCAAAAATCGGCTGCTACAGTCCGTTTTGCCCATATCTAGCTATTTTAGGAATTTGGTGTCATTTATGGATAGTCTGGGGACTATAATCACATATTGCCCAATATCAATTGCGAAAGAAACTCAGAATTTGTCATCCGACCTTCGAGCAAATAAATTATATACCTTATTCATACCATACCACAGTGTCACAAAACATTTGCAAACGTGACTTAGAAACAATAATATTTTAACTGCTTCAACGTCTGGCTGAACTGTAACAGTGTGTTCTGGCTACAACCTCAACAAAGCCGCAGTGTAAAAACATAATAGTGTGGTATACGCAAACCACAAGGACTCCTGGAAATGAGGTGTAGCCGAGCGTGGCATCGAAGACGCAATAATTGTCGAACAGAGTAAAGGGTTTGGTTTTTCATACCCCATCACCTATTTTATTTAAGTAGCAAAAACATCACCAATAAAACTTAGTCTGCAATATTATGCTATCCACACTCCTTAGATTTTTTACTCTTGATACATGAGCGTTATATTCATTTTTTATTGCTGCATACATAAACTTTTTACCCGTAAACACAAGATGAGTAATATAAGGCGAATACATATAAAAAGGGGTAAGTAACAAAATAACCAAGAATCTTCGACTAAAGTGAGTGATGTTAGCTGCGGAAGCAGAACTAAAGTGTTTTTTGATAGATAGATTAATTGAACAGACGTTCCTATGGAAGCCGATTCTAGTAGAAAGCTAATGTAACAGCTGAGGTTGGTTGGTTAAGCGTTGACCTCAAACAACTAAGTATTTGTCAAAATAATAGAGATTAACTATTCATTCAATTCATTATTTTGTACAGGCATTATATTTGCTATTGTCTTATATTGATTGTTGAAAAAAAGCGTGTTCAAACGAGTAACCTCCCCTCCACCGTGTACTCGTTTCACGAGAAAATAAAGACCTACTCACTACTAGTACGGTTTCTCCTTTCAATAGGACGGTTAATAAATACAGGCGTGAAAACTGAATACGGAGCATAGTGAGAGCCATTATCAGTCACTAAAACCATGGGAATCCCATCTCGACTAAATACCCTTCTTAATGCTCGGATTGTGAATTCAAAATTTGGTAAAGTTGTGAAAAAATTCAGGCCAATTCGGAAACGAATCAATAACAACATGTGCATAGTATCTGCCAAGAAATGAACCTCAGTAGTTCGCATGAATTCTCTACCAGGCATCAGATAATACTGATCATGGAGTCCAATTCGAAGAGAGACTTTTCAACTTATAACACTTTACAAAATCGTTTGCCACACGACATATATCCGCATTTATCTCCGGCCACCAACATGTGAGCTTTGCCAGGAACTTCATCTTGTCAACACCCAATTATCCACTATGACGATCTTCATGAACAGATTCACGTAATGAAGAAACAACAGCAACACTATCATTAAGACACAGAACGCCATCTGGAGTAGTGGTGAGCTCGTACCGTCTTGAAAAACAGGCAGGAAATCTACGTGTCATATTGGCATTCCAACATTTTCGCGTGGCACTGAGTACACATCCAAAGTATCGACGGGTTTATTTGACGATATCTTGATGTCTCACTGGTAAAGATCGCAATAACAAACGGTTTGAAGTATTGACAGATCTATCTTGTAATGATTGCCGATAAATATAGTCAACTCATTGAGCTTATTTGGCACCTCTTTGATGAATCGTATAGTCATAGGCACACAAACCAATACTCCATCGTTGAACCATGGCAGATGACGGACGTGCAATGGAGTTTTCAGGATGATAAATGAACATTAAAGCTTCATGATCTGTAACAATAGTCAATTTCTTTCCAAATAAATATTAATGAGGTCTTTTGACGGTCCAAATCACAACTAGTTCTTCTCGCTGAGATTGCAAATAACTTTACTGATCAACACTAATTGTGCTTGAAACACAGATAACTGGTCTAAATTCCTACCCCAAAACCGTACCAATACCCACAGGTGATGCGCCAGTGATAAGTACAGAATGTACACTGGGGAGTAAGTTCGAGGAATAGCATCACTTTGAAGAAACTTCAGTAGACTTCGTAAGCATGACTCTTGTTGCTGACAACACTTAAGCGTATTGGATATCAAAATATTAAGTAAACAATTGGCACAACGAGAAAAACCAGAGATAAAACGTGAATAATATTGAAGATCACCCACTAGTGAATGTGAATCTGTAAGATTTTTCTGATGTGGTGCATTTGTCAGTGGAGCTAGTTGTTTCATATCTGGTCTCAAACCATTACTATCAACTAGGTATCCAAGACATTCAAAACTAGATACACAAAATGAACACTTATTTGGATTCACCGTAATATTCTTCTCAATTAGACGACGCCAAAAAGCAATAAGTCTCCGGTCACGAACTACCTTATCAGAACCATGAACAATGAAACCCCCTTGACCAACTCTAACACCTTCACGATCACTGAATACCATATTAATCACTACCTGGTGTGGATAGAGAACAACTTAGACCGAACGAAAGGAAATGGAGATTAAATAGGCCACAAGGAGTGCTAATTGTCGTCAAAATATATGAAGATTGACCTAAAAGGTATTAAAGAAAAGCATTTTTAAAGTCAACTTTCGGAAACACTTTAGAACCATAAAATCCATTACGAATATCTTCAACTTCCACCGT